ACACACACACTCTCTGTCTCTCTCTCTCTCTTGCGGTGTAAGCACATCTTAGCTTTTGTTTTCTGTCACCTATAGCAAGCGGATAATGGACACATCACAATGTTGTGAAATGAGAAAAGACATGAGCTGGAGCGAGTCCAGACACTCCCTCATGGAGTCACCTATTAGACTGTAGCAAGTGGAGGACGGCTGGATGGAGGGATATAAATGGACAGAACAAACAGTGAACGGCGGCCACTGAGTCGATGCTGACACAAGACTCTTCCTTGTCTTTGTGCTGGAGTTCAGAGTTTATAACTCCGACCCGAAACATCAATGCAGATAATTGCGGATGTAGAGTGAAATATTTTGAGATTGTTGTTGTTGCAGAATGAATGCACTCAGAGGAAGTCATAGTTTATTCTTTCAATGGTGAATGATTTAGGTCATGCAAACAAACAAATCTGAATCACATTTATTTTTATAATAATTACACAACACAGGATTTTAATCTTGATTTACCAACGCAAAGCATCTAGTAGCTTTGTATTTGAGGTACCACTTTATTACGTAAGACAAAGCATTTTACTGAGGAATAAGAGTTACTGTAGAGGAATCTGTGTGTGTGTGCGTCCGTGTGTGTGTATGTGTGTGTGTGTGTGTGTGTGTGTGTGTGTGTACATGCGTGCTGTGAGGCAGAGAAAAGCTGCTTTGACAGAGGTGTGTAAAAAACCAACTCCGGGGGCAGACACGGATGGGCTTAGTGAGATTCAGCAATGTGGAAACTGGCGTCGCACAAATGATTATCACATGAAGTCACACTTTCTGTCTCTGCCACAAACCTTGTTGTTACTACTCGTTCTTCACACAATTTGTAAAGCAGAACAAGGTCAACAAACTGTGGGCAAGTTCAATAATCAGAAAGCAGACGGTATCTGCTCATGCTGCTGGCTTCCCTTTCCTTACACTATAATAACAGTGATTGTTCTGGTTATTTCATGGCTGTGTATGTACAGTGAGGCTTGCTATATGTATAGCTGCTTAAACCACAATAGTTTGAATGTGTTTGGAGTGAATAAACTTTTTTCCTCTTTTATCCTCCTCTTCCTGTCCTCTTTAGGCATCCTCTAATCCTCTGTGCCTGTTAATGCAGCTGCCAGACAAGAACCAGCCATATACGGGGAGACTACTCTTTTCTCTCGCTCCTCTTTTTGGTAAATGTATTTCCCTCTCCGCATTTAAATTTTTTCATTTTTGCATATCTCTCATGTCTGGCCCTGAGCCGTGAAATATTGCAGGTTAAACAAGAGCAGACGCATCACAACAAACCGTTTCTTTGCACATGAATCCTGTGAATGCATGTTGAATGAGCTCCCATAAAATGGGTTTTATCAGACGCTGTCCACATGCCTGTTTTTTACTACGAAGAGAAAAAAATGACAGGGTCGTGTTGAGGTGTAAACACAACCACGCTTTGAGTAATGAAAACAAGGTGGGTGAAAGGTGATAAAAAGCCAACCTTCGATCCTCTGGCTCTCAGGGTAATAACCTCTTTTAAACCAGTAAATACTGCATCTTCTCGAAAGTATGAGGCGAGATTTTGAGCAGAATTATAATTGCGGCCAATAAAAATAAGAGTGCAGCTATATTTGGCAAAAATTGGCCCGAAAACAGCAGCAGTTCTGCCTTTGTTGCCATCAAGTGAGTGAGAAATCGTCAAGTGGAAGGGAGAGAAAAGTGAAACAAAGAAAAGAACTTTGTGTTTTGAAAAGGCAAGATAAATTGCCTGGCTCATATTTCTTTCGCTTCCTCTGATTATAAAGTATGATGCTCCAGTGCTCTCTGCTAACATAGACTCTGGAGTTGATTGTGTAAGGCGGTGAGGGGCAGATATGCCTCCCGGTGTCTTGGAATGAGCTTAGTAGCAGCCTCGGCAGTCATCAGGTCTGTGGAGGGGTCTTGAGTTAAGCAATGCAGACACATTGCTCAGTGTAGTAAAGCTCCTGGCTCCAGGTCTGATTTATACCGACTTTGGTCAAGGCTGGGGGGCTCCGTCATTCTTCAGAGCCACTGGATGTAGTACTTGGCTGACCCTAAATTGATTTTAAGGGAGAAGTTCACCTATTTCCCTGCCCTTATGACAGTCACACAGCTGGGTCATTTATTTCCCTTATACCCCATCGCAGCCGCAGGCCTGGCAGGAAGCGCTGCCCCACTGTAATGAAGACGCGACCTTGAGTTTAGACATCAACCCCGCTTCAGTATGGAAACCAGGAACATCAGAACATCCCGCATAAACACACCCACACTGACAGACACACACACACACACACACACACACACACCACAGCATTACAAAAACCAGCGACCTACCCTATAGACCATCTATCACATGCTCTGACGGGCGGGGGGGGGGGGTTTCCATCCTCAAGAAATAAGACAGACTCAAAGAAGAACTCTGTGCAGTGATGGGTCTAATTTTAGTGCCTATTTAAACGTGTTTGTGCCATAAAATTCTTCACTTATTAGAATACATCCATTATTCAGTTGTTGTAATGCTCACTAATGGCTGTACAGGCAGTATAATGCACAGCAAAGTGTGCTTGGCCTCTCCCATAAATCTGAGAGGCTGGATGGATCTGAAGTCTGGCCCCTTCAGCGGAGAAGAATCATCCTCTGACCTCTCAGCTTCCTGATAGGAAGAACAAAATTCATGAACACCCGCAGGATTTGGGAGAAGTTCATCTATTTCCTGATATAACAAAGTGAGACATGGGATGTTGTTTCTTTAGTCTTTCATTTGGCAGAGAATCAAAGCGGAGGCTTGTGCCTGGGGAGCTAATGCACAGTGGCGTGCTTGAAAGCCCAAACACCCTGGCCGCACAGAGGAAAAGGTGAGGCTTCTCCTTCAACCCAGACAAGTGCTCCTGAGACACCTTGAAAGCATCCCAGCATTGGCCTGCAGACTCACATAACACCGCTCTCTCATGAAAAAAGAATGTGCTAAACTGGCTCAAACGAGCATTTAAAAAACACACCATTATTTTCAGGAACATCTCATCTGAAATGGATAGTTTGACCATATACAGTCATTTCTAATCTCATTTTATATAGACAGAAAGTTATTACATATTAATACTTATATATTTATATATCTATATATATAATTATATATACAATACTATTTTATCTGTCATGCAGTTAAGGGGCATAATACATTACTCTTTATGTGGAAAAGATGTGATATAAAACTGTACATGAACAAAGGATATATTCAGTATACGTATATTTTCATTTATCCAACAATAAATAAAAAGATAAAAGAACACATGGCTCATGGTGTGATAGATTCAGTGATCCCTGCTCTGGTGGTTACTCTAAGAATAACATGGCTGACATCATTCGAAGATTAATCCAGTGAGGGGGGCCCCTCTAAAAACGTCTACTGACATTACAGGCACTTGGTTTTGACAGGGAGTATTTTCACTGGTGATGTGAAGTTTTACTTACGCTGGCATGCAGTCTAAATGATATGCAGTAGTCTCTGTTTACACTTGATAGTGTTTTATCTATTGAAGCTTTGTGACATCTCTACTATGAAGACCTGAAAAGATTCAACAGTCCAGCTTTAAACAACTCTTTGGTTTGACATCTTTGTTTTCTACTACACTTGTCGGACCATTACAATTGTATGATTTACATTCAATATTTATCTTACACAAAATGTGATAATATCTAATGTGCCTTACATTTTCAATAAATATACTTTACATTGTTCATCACTGTACATGGAATGCTGTTGAAAGTCTCTTGTTTGTTTCCGTGCTGCCTCTTCTGCATAATATCAATGTTCTTTTGTCATACTTTCAGAGAGCTTGAGAGGAAGGTCTTCTTTTTTTTTTTTGTACCTCATATTATGTGCTTGTATGAAATACAAGCACATAATTGTGTCCCGGATGGATGTGGAAACCTGGACTGTCCGGGGTCTAACCTTCTAACTTCAGTTTGTAAGTTTGTGTGTGTGTGTGTGTGTGTGTGTGTGTGTGTGTGTGTGTGTGTGTGTGTGTGTGTTTGCATGTGCATGTGCGTGTGCATGCATGCGCGTGCGTGTGTGCGCGTGCGTGCGCATGCATGTGTGTGTGTGTGTGTTTCTGTCTGCATAAATCCACAGTACTCAAGGTCCTCGTTGGGCGGTGTCTTGACTCTACTGAGTGAATCTCCATCCACCCTGCTAACAAATCACTATTGTTCTTTGGAACCTGAATCCTCCTGAGCTAATATAAATTCAGCCTCAAGCATCCGTCTGTAATCCACTTCTCTTTGATTTAACAAAGTTTGTTCACATTATTAGATTTCAACTACAGCCTTCTCAGGACCACTCCTGCAGCTGTAACATCCATGTCATCCCCTGTCTGTTCTCAGTCCAACAGCAGTCTTGCGCTGTCTCGCTGTCTGTATGTGTATGTGTGTCTCTCTCTCTCTTTCCCTTAGCCTGCTGCTTTGTTTCCTCTACACCCACAGCTCCGTCTGCTGCTTTGTACATTAGGTGTGCTGTAAGGCCATCAATACAGTGATCCACCCATTGCATTCTTGCTGCTCTGCTCTGTCTGCACAGGGCAAGAGTTTTTCCTGTTTGAATCATTGCACAGGGTTTTTCTCAACAGCTACAGAGGTGAAAATCGCTTTACTCTCAAGGACAGTTTGTACTGCAGATGCTGTCACTGTATATTCCACAGTGCCCTCATAAAATGCTGTTGACACCTTCAATGACACCCTTTCTCACTGCAAGGGTGTAGAGGACAGGTGATTACAGATAGAAGTCCTGTTGACAGTACAGCCGTCCTCTGTTGTTGGAAACATCTGGTAGAGGTCAGCACTCCCCGTTCTCAGGCTGCGGTGCTGGAGGTGGTGTTGGCGGTGGCGGAGTGGTGTGGAACGGCCACATGTGCGCCCATGCATGTCTTTTCAAACATGTCACGTCTCTGTTTCTGGCATGTCTGTTTCTGTCTCATCGCCCTCTGTCAGTACAGGCCGTCCTTGGTGGTGGAGGTGTGTGTGGTGGTGGAGTCGTCGGGCAGGGAGCCCCGGCGGCCGGGTCGCGACCAGCAGCTCAGAAGGTTCTGCAGCTCTGTGGACACGCTGCTGGAGAAAGCTGTGTAGATCCACGGGTTGGTGCACGAGTTCAGACTGGCAAGCAGCATCAGGATAGTGAAGGCCACTCCTGCAGAGGACACAAACACACACACACACACACACCACACACACACACACACACACACACGAGAAGAAGAGTGCATAAACATGTGGAAATGCAGGAAGAAGTATGTATACACACATAGAAATGTTCAGTTTGCAAACTAGAGGTGAACGTTCTTCCAGCTGTGGACAGATGATCACATTATATACAACATTGTTCTTATGAAACAGACATAAATATGTACAACAGCTATTCAGTTTGAATATAAACCATTCANCACACACACACGAGAAGAAGAGTGCATAAACATGTGGAAATGCAGGAAGAAGTATGTATACACACATAGAAATGTTCAGTTTGCAAACTAGAGGTGAACGTTCTTCCAGCTGTGGACAGATGATCACATTATATACAACATTGTTCTTATGAAACAGACATAAATATGTACAACAGCTATTCAGTTTGAATATAAACCATTCAGGATTATTGTTTTTGCTTTTTTCTCCTCCAGAAATGGCAACAGGACTGTAAATATCCCAGAGGAACAAAATCCTACATACTTCCTTTTTCTGTTTTTCTTCTTGCAGCTATAATGAGTCTTTTATGTAATAACTAAAATATGCTTATTTCACTGTGGCCAGTTGAGGACAATAGGGACAAACTGCTTTTAGAACAGAAAGCTGATAATAATCAATTGTGTGTGTGTGTGTGTGTGTGTGTGTGTGTGTGTGTGTGTGTGTGTGTGTGTGTGTGTGTGTGTGTGTGCAAGCTTACGTGCCTTTCCCCGTGTGTGTCTGTTTGTGATCTTGATTGTGTGTGCAAGCTGCTGGCACGGATCATTGTTGATGAAATGTCAACATCTGGCCACATTACAAAATCAGCAGGGGATGTAAACAGGTTATTTACTAGCCTGGAGTGTTTGCCTTTAGCTTCAGATCAGAGGACACCCACACAGTCTATACTATCGGCCACAAATTATGGCCACACTAGCCTTGCTAGCTTAATCTCTGGCTGCCAGTGAAGACATCATCAGACACTGTTTCTGTCCCAAAATGTGCTGAGGTCAGGCCGGATAGGAGGAATTCGGGGGGGGGGGGGGGGGGC